TCGTCGATCTTTCTTGAACGTGAAAAATGAAAATGAAAATATTCTTCTTCAAGAATCTAGCATTTTGACAATACTCCGGGGTGAAACTTCGAAAATAAACTCGTGCAGGATTCAAGAAAAAATAACTGGGTCGCCCATACGGCCGTCGCTAATAATAGTAATAGAGTTTTTGCGGTTTTGCGCATGCTGGATGCATCGCGCCGGTCCGTATGGCCCGACACGACGTGTCGATATCGCCGGGTGAGAACAGGTGACGAGAAGTACCTGTCGGAGAACTGCTACTTGTTCGAGAGTGGAACATCGGGCGAACAATACCAGCGAAGCAAAAGAGCAGAGTCGCTTGGCAACGAGCTCGTGCGCGTGCGCGCGCACCTGTGCATATGGAGGTCCGCGCATGTTATTGCATTAAAAGTGAGAGAAAAAAAGGCCAATAAGGGGAGGATTTCAGTTCCTGGGAAAATGAAGAACTTCGATTACCGATGAAACGCGATTCACCTTTCTGATATAAAATTTTGACAAGGCAATTTAAAAAAAAAAAAAGGCAAAAAGACGCGAAAAAGACAAGACCTCACCCGAGTTCGCAATTCTCTTAGACAGGTAACACCATTAATAATTGTTCCCAGGATATTAAATACACTAGTGAGTGTTTCGGACTTCTCGTTGCCCCAAATGCCCGCTGTTTTTCTTTCATTTCGTCGAGTTCTCTCGGAATTCGTTGCCGTTAAAGAGAATTGGACCGGACGGGCTACCGGTGTTATCGTAAAAAGCTATGAGATTTCTGACGCACTCGCCAGGCGGGTTTTATCGGGCTACCTACGTTAATTAATTGCGCGTACGCGCGAAATTAAATGCCCCGTCCCCCGAGGAATCTGGGAACACGTAATAAAACGTAACCGGGGATGTTTCTCATTTTTCTCGAAAAACAGTTTTCCGACACTGTTGGCGAGTGGGAGGAAGCCGTGTCGCAACGCCAACGGATTGTCGCCTTCGTTAGAATGCTAATGCGGACAAATCTTACGGGGATTACAATTTTTCCAGAGAACAAAGGAAATCGCTTCGAGGTCGATAACACTGTCGCCGGTGGGACAGAGGCTGGACTCAGCTGTACAAGAAATCGTTTCTTGCCCGCCTTCACACCGGACACGAGGAAGTGGGCGGATATGAAAATGCTTCGTGCCCCATCGTCTCTGTAAGGAGCTTGCGCACAAATTGAATACTGAAATTTAGAGAAATCGAGCCGATTTAGTCGATTTACCCGAGCCCAGATAAAAGAGAAACAAAACATTCGACTAAATAATATACGAAATAGCCACAGTGTTAAAAGGAAATATTATAATTTCATATTTTGGTTAGAAGTATTATTCAGACATGGAATACTAATTTTATAAAATATTTGCAACAAATTTATAAAATGTGTTATAAATTTAAAACGTAAGTGTATTCATTTTTTCACGTAATTTCATCAAATTATAACGTGTCATCACATTATAAGTTTGTTTAGAAAATTGTAATAAATAGGTACTAATTCCCTTTTAGAACATTAGATTTATAATTCTCTTACACCCTTATGTACTAAAAGTGCATGAATTTTATGAATATTTCTAACAGTGTACGCGAACTCGCGAGGTCGTCCCATCGATCTCCACAGGTTTTTGTACACCCCGCTGACAACGGCGACATCTTTAAAATATTCCCCAGGAGAATAATCGCAAGATAAGTTACTTGGCATAATTTCAATACCTAAGAACCATAAATTTCAACCACGAAGGCTCACTGATAGCGTGCCGGCTTAAAAGCTCACTCCAAATCTCCGGGAACCTTGCAAACGTATATTCTCAACAAATGCGTAAACTTCAAAATCATTGTAATCAATGTTCGACGACCGATAGAAGGGACTGGAATGACAATTCAATTTTGTTGCTCGTCTCGTGCATGTAAACGCGTAGTGCGATATCTCTTTATCTGGAGTCCTTGAGTAAATATCTCGAATATCCGCAGAGGGGTTTTTCTTTTTTTTTTTTAATCCGACCTAAGTTTCGGCGAAAAACAGCTAAATTTCACGAAGTCCCGGGGTCGTATGCCCCGAATACAAACTTGCATGCTGCCGGTGCATCGACGTTGCACCACTCTTATTCACATGAAATAAAATGACCCCGAGTGAAGGTGAGCTTAATTAAACATTACTATATGGTGAATTAGCCACACCTGAAGCCAAGATATATTTTCTACCGTTTTCTAATCTCAAGTTTCGGATCGCGTCACCGAGCTCGATACAATCTGTTTGCAAAAAAAGGGAGAATGTTGCGTTCCTGATACACTGGGGAAAAAAAAAAAAGAGTTAATTCAACTTAAAATGAGTTACACCAATTCATTATTGAGTTTAATCAATTATACGGTCGAGTTGAATTTAGTCTCTTTTGTTTTCAGTGTACAAAAATGAGGAATACCGAATTCTTCGTCGCTTTCAGTGTCTTTAGAATAATCATAGTTAAATAAAAGACCTCCATTTAATTTACAATTTTATCTAGCTAATGATTTTGAGATAAATGATACTCGATCGCGTTAAAATATCTGGGTTCGTGGAAGACTAGATTTCGTTGTATGTAGATCACTGTCTGCTTTTACAGAGTATGTAGGGTTTTTCGGTAATGCGTTTTTTTTTTATAAATATCAAAATGCCATAATGCTTCAAAGTGAATCGCGTGACTTAATCATAATTACACGGTAAAAATTTATGGGCATCGATAGCCATCCTACTTATTTTTAGGAACGTCCAATGGATAATTTGCAATTTCTCGCTTTCATAATAAAGTGTGCAGCTCTCTGTTCGTGTACGATAAAAGAGATGCATTAATGCGAACGCGAGGGTGTGTAAATTATGCATGGTATCCTGCACGTCTCGTATTAATAATGATGACGACTAAGATGATGGCCAATAATAATAACAGCAGCAAGGGTATCATTAAACCGAAATTGTATCTTCAACGGATTATTTAAACCGTGTCACATCGCGAATCAAGAATTCTTAAGACGCTCTCGATGGATTTCAGTTAAAGGTGTTCGTGCAAAACGAGCACATGCAGTGATGTAAGAAATATAAAACCTTACGTAGTCTGATTAACACGATAACACTCTATACAAAATATTTTCTGAAATGTGGTGACAGAATATCAGTGGTATTCTAAATTTACTATAGGACCGTATTTCATCGTGTCCATATTAAAAATAATATTCAATTCATCTAACATTTATGCTCCGACATATTCTTAATCAAATATCGAGTCTGTGTAAATTTTAATCCAATTATACCATGATATGGGAAGGTAAATAACAGAAAGTTCAAGGAGTTCGGCATGTCACGTCGCTTGGATTAGTTCTGACCTAGATAGTCCATGTGGAAAGGTAACACGTTCAACGAACAGGAGGCATCACCCAGTGGGTTCCAATTTATGGTAGTCATGTCCTAAAACATCCAACTGGTCTGAAAAATGTAGAATTTGTATGAATACACAGCCTTTTACGTTCTACTAGCCACGAACTAACGTAGAATAAAACATTCTTCCATATTTCCCAGACTTTCTGTCCATTTTCAAGACGTTTCCAACTCCATTATTCCTACGAGTTGCCGAGCTCAAGTGAGAATATTCCATAATAAGAAAGCTCGACGTACAGAAGTTACGGTACAAAGTTAAATCACGACTGGTGACCACACAACATCTATTACATTACGGCGATATCTTTAAAAAGGGTTTCCTCGTTTCACAGACAAGTAATAGTAATTTTTGACTGGCAAAAAACCCGAACACCCACTCCGTGAAGTAAATAGATCAATATTCAAAGTGAAACGAGAGAACACTCTTTCGACTCCTCTTTTGTTCTCAAATCCCTGGAAAGTCAAATCGCATAGAGAGTGGCTCGAAGGCAGCCTGATTTTGGGAACGAAAATGGATTCCAGGGAAGGTTGGTCGGTTCGTGAGGATCAACAGGGCGAGGTGAGGTAAAGAAGCAAACCAGGAGGAGCAAGTTGGCCGACCAGGCCCGACTCGAGTCCGTTGCGAGGCAAAACGGCGCAGGCTGTGGAGGTTATGTCGCTCGGCGATTCGAGAATCGGGAGTCGGGAACCGGGAGCGGTTTCAGGGCTTCTCGGGGCCAAATACAGCCTGGCGTTTGGCGCGAGCGTTCGGAGGATTCGTCTCGAGGCTGCGCCTCCCCACCCTGATTTTTCGGTACTTACCACAGACGCACGAGTCATATATACCTAGGCTCGAGAACACGCGCGAGCACTTACGCACCTCGGTGCATACATACGCGAGTCGCGGGTCGCGGAAGCAGCTTGGTGATGCAGCCCGTCCTCGCTCTCTCTCTCTCCCTCTCGCTCTTCTTTTCTATCTTTCTCTATACCTCTCACTCCCGGGGAGCACGTTTATCTAGCGTGAGGTCGTCGCGAAGCCAGGACAGCTCTTGGCTGGGCCTCAGGTCCTTGGATCCGACTCGGAGCACGCCGAGGATAGTTTCGAGCACACCGGATACCCGAGACGCGGCGATCGGGGTCCGCGAGGGCACACATCGGGAGGTAGAGCACACTCGGGTGTCCGTCAGCAACCTAGAAAGCGGGCAGCCATTCAGGATTACGGGACTCCGTCCGTCCGGCTATCCGTGAAATCGAGGCTAAAATATTCACCGCCGCTCCGCGCGGCCGCGTCCGCGAGCTGGCCGTCTGGACGAGACACCTTCCGACGAAACTCGAGAGGCCCGTGGAGCGCCGTGCGAGGTGTGCAGCCCCTACAGTCGCGCGCACTCTTCGGGGTCAACAATGTCGCATTTTTGCGGTCCCGGAAAACAATGAAGACCCCACCGAATACGCGGCGGAACGAGCCCACCTTTGACACAATGCCCGTGAGCTCACCGCGAGGACCGCGGCGCTGATCCTAATCGACGCGCGAGGGCCGAGCCTCCTCTCTTCCGCTAACAGTCCCGGACTTTAAGCAAAGGATATTTACCCATTTGTGACAGATTTTCCGATCGAAATGCACCACATTAACAACCGTCCCCCACCTATTACCACATACAGACATTACACACTTCAATTTTTCAAGATGGCGACGCGGTCGAGCTCGGGGCGAGACGATGCGGCAAACGCCCGAAACGGCGGCGCTGCACTCGCTCTGCCCGCCGATACGCGGCCCGGCGAACCCCTGACGTCCCTGAGGATCCTCGACGACCGGGGACGCGTCGAATGCTCCGAGACCCTTTCGCCGAGGCAGCGACCTGGACCGACCGGACTGCGAGACGAGAGCCGAGAACGACGGCGCGCGACCGCTCGGAAATCGAGTTACCCGTTGTCAGGTGCGTTCCGAAGTCGGCGCACCCGCTCGCCTGACGACTGGACTCGATGGTTCCACTTTCTCCCGCTTGACGCTTCGCGCGGCGCTGACCGCAGCTGCGCGCAAAATAGAGAATTTCGACGTACCGACCGGTCGAGCACGCACACCCTCGCAGGAACCGGATACCGCGGCAAAATGCTCGATTTCAACGATATTCCATGACGTTTTCGACTCCCGTTAAACTTTTATCTTCATTTTTTGAATATCGTGTTCTCGAAAGCGGTTCTTAACAAAAAATGCATGTCGCATTGAAGTTACTGGATCGAAGATGTCAATGCGAGCCGTTTGTCGTTAATAACTATCCCTCTCTAGTGATAATTTATATACATAATCATTTTCATAAAAGAGCTGATATAAAATTTAAAAAAGGAGCTCTTTGGTGCATAATCTTTTAATATTTCAGGTATGCTGAAAACACGCAGGAAGAATAAGGTGCGGTATTTTTGTTCGATGTAAAATTGGTGTACTTTAATATTTGATAATGTTTCATCCACAAAAATCTAATAAGTTTACAGCCATTGGTAACGGAATATATTTTACAAATGAATAACATGAGGTTACTTATTCAAGACCAAAGTATTTCTGAAGCAACTCTTCATAGATGTCCTTATCAGAAGGAAGGAAAACACAGAAAATTATTCGGTCAAACTGGAAGAAAAAGCAAATTATGATATCATAATCATTAAACGATTTAACATACTAAATTATTCTATTAGATACTTTAAGATAAGTATTTTAATGTATGACATTAAATGTGGTCATCGTACAAAAAAATCTTATTTGATATGATATATTAGAATTATATCACATTGTTAAGTAGGAGCACAGTCAATATTTGTGCACCTAATTATACAATTAATATAACTTTACTTCTTCATGGAAAATTTTCTGATTTATCATATTGTTACCATTTACTTTATAATCGATCTTACTTGATCTTTGTCGTCGAGGAGAAACTTTTTAACTGTAGCTAAAGCTACTTTAGCTGCTGGCCTCTGAGGGTACCCATATACACCTGTAGATATACATGGAAATGCTATGGTACGAAGTTGATTCTCTTTAGCAACAGCAAGGCAACTTTTGTAACATTCCCTTAACTTATCCGGGTGTTCTCCCTGAGGTCCCACTGTATGAATGACATCTAAAATGTTATAATGCAAGATGAATTAATATTATAAAAAAGACTATTATCATAATTAATTTTATAATGCGAAGATTGCAAATGCATACATTTAGCTGGCAGCAGGTAACCTCCAGTTATTTTAGCTTCTCCAACATGACATCCACCCAGTGTTGCACATTCTTTTTTGAGATTTGGTCCTGCTGCTCTATGAATTGCTCCATCAACTACAATTATATAAACATTATTGATGAAACAAATTTGATTTTATTAATATTTTTCGTACCTCCACCTCCTCCTAGTAAACTTGAATTTGCTGCATTCACAATTGCATCAATCTCCAAAGAAGTGATATCACCTTGCCATAAAGAAATTTTATCAGCCAATTCTGTATTCACTTTTTCCACTTTTTCCAATGTTGTGACCCCGATATTAGTTTTATTCTTATTCCAATAATCAGTCCATGACAAAATTTGATCTATAGTTGTCATGCCTGTTTTATAAAATTGTCGTTTTTCTTCAATGGGCATATGGAAATACTTTTCTACAATGATATTTAAAATATTTATCATCACCTGCTGCCTCAAATTTAGGAAAACTTGAATTTGTTAAAAATCTTTAAACTGTTATATAACAAGTTTAACTGTTACATTTTTTCAATAACTTACGTTTCTCCGATTCAAAGGACATCTTCGTTTCAAGGTTATTATGGGCAGTGGAAAAATATTTTGCAAGCCCACTGTGTACACACAATGGACTTAATATACTTTTTATTAAATTTCCGTTCGACACTACCTAAAAAAAATAATTATATACAGATTAAACAATATCAAATTGTATCATACTTAAACATTGCCTCTCATCTTACTTTTAAGCTCAACATTCTAATAATTTGTGTCAGTTCCCATTACTATAAGTTTGACATTAAACAAAATCACTTAAAAGTAATAATTACGTTCAGAATGCAACATTTACATTTATAAGTGTATGAAAGTCGCAAAAATTATCCTTGTTCTGTCTGCGCAAAAAGAATATTGAAAAACATGAATCACCCCGGGTCCGTAGTTTGTTGCAGCAGAGATGCTCATCTCTGGTTGCAGCGATTTTTCCCGCATGAGCGCCACTTGCTGTTGGTCGAATGAATTAGTACATTTACACCTGCTGTTTTACATCAGTTTTATAACTACCGTTAATCTACTGGTATTAAACGCGGTGTAAATACATTTTACGCCCGTGTTATCAGTAAAATAGGAACAAAACGATGTTTAAGTAACAGATATTAAGTCTCCCCCGTCGGTATTTATGCAATACCAGATTGGATAAATTGTCATTAGAGATGAGTTGGGAGATTGCTCACGGGCAGGGTCGCGCGATCGCTTCGTGTGCTGCCCTCTGGTTTTGTATGTGAGCTTTCACCGTTTTTGCCCTCAAGGGCGGCGCAACGAATTTCTGGTAGAGGCTCGCGCACTTATGGGGATTGTCGAATATATTTCACGACTTTATCTATAGTTATTGCTTTATTATCACAAAAAAAGGAGCGGATTTCCACGTGCGCTCTAGAATTGTTCACACAGTCTTCTCCTCGATTTTCAACCGTTTTTAAAACATTTTACGACGTAGTCGTCTTTTCGTTCGAGGTAAGTACAGTAATGTGCACGCGGGGTAACGCAGTTTGCCCCGTCCTGAACGCATCGCACTCGTCGTGCGCGATGCCCCTGGTGGTCGATGGCCGGACTTCGTCCCGGGCCCGCCACACCTTTCTAGGGTTAACCGTATCCGGCCTGTGTTCCGGCACTCACAGTCCGAGTTCGTTTACATCAGGTTTAAGTGTTCAGGCATACAATAACGCATGTTTGTCTTTCGTACATTTTTATTCCACACAGAAATTATACGGAGTAATAGGCGGGCTGGGCGCCGCCGGGAACTAGGAACCTTACTACTTTTTGACGGGGGCATAAACTGTGTGTTTACCAAATTAGGCGCGCGTCGACTGCAACGACGCGCGCCTAACTTGGTAGACATTCAGTTTATGCCCCCGCCAAAACGAGTAAGATTCCTAGTTCCCGGCGGCGCCGAGCCCGCCTATTACTGTGTGTAATCTCCGTGCAGGAATAAATATGTACAAAAGGAAAATGTGCGGTGTTGTATGCCCGTTCACTTAAACCCGATAAAAGACGAACTCAGACTGTGGGTACCGGAATACAGGCCAGATACGGTTAACCCCTACACACTCGCGATGGCGGTGCCATCTACCAGTCGCCGCTGGCGGCTCACGTACTCGTGATGGTAATACCATGCGGCAGTTGACGGTGATGGCTTACTTACGCTTACCAACACTGCTCGCATTTGATAGTAAGGGAAGAACACTCGTGGCTCCCTTTTTGACTTTACCTTTCACTTACCTCATTTATTCCATACGCAAATGATACAGGTAAAATTACAACGTATGTGCTCGAGAGTTAAGATATACTGTAGATACAATTTTTATAAGCTCGGAAATTAATAAAACAATTATGAATGTTCCGTAGGGAACACATAAAACCTAGATGGAAGGAGATACCCAACAACATAGTTCGACGTAGTCGATACGTCAGGGGTAACGAACGTGTCGCAAGACCAAATCCTGAGGGACGGGAAGGGTGGATACGGTTTTTTACGTACATTTTTTTCGGCACATTTTACAGTTGATAGCGATCGCACAAAACACATTACAGTTATGTAATTTTTTATTATGAGTTCAGTTTTCATTATTTGTCTCACCGTCCATAAGGTGACTTTATTAAGTAATGTGAAATTAATTAAAATCGTACTGCAAGATAACAATATCAATCTTTCTTATCGTTAGTATTATTATTATTTAGTATTGGATTATTTAATGGAATTTGTTATTTCCTATTCCCCGATAGTATACACTAGCATGTAAGTGAGACCACACACTGGGTTCAAAAACAAATCGACGCAGAAAATATCGGTGTCACATAAACATAAACATAGGATTTAGATAGCGAAAGAACCAAGAGTTCTTTTGTATATAGCCGATGACGACTTGTGGAGTCTGTGACCCTAACTTGCGTTGTTAGGCTCCTGGAGAAGTTCGTACTGTACAGATGGTCCTTCCTCGTGAAATTAAATTAAAGAAATGAAATCAACTTAAATATTGGATAATTTATTTACCCATTTCTATCATTTAGTTACTCATGTTGCTACTGTTATCTCATTCATTGCAAAAATTTAAATTATAATATTCATTTTGAGAATGAATTAATGAGTTCGGATGATAAAAACCTTCAATTGAAATATTTGTCCTCTACATTGGTAATTTTACTGCAAAACATTTGTCCTGAAATACTCCGGCTCACGGTCAAGTGATGGTAATTAGCAAAATTTCAATACATCGGTAAACACCGAATACGCGACTCGTGCACGACGTGGATCGTACGAGTCGGCGAATGATGAAAACAATGAGATTAAAGTACATTGTTGTTTCGAAGCGACGAGCGCGGAACATCGGGCACGCCCTAGTGTCACGTACGGAACTCACATGCAGCGAATCTGTGTGAGTGCGATCGCTCCTAAAAATCTTCGCGCGTCCCGGCCAGCCAAGCGCCAAGCTACAGGTCGAAGCATTGAGTATGTGTGCGTCGGCGCCACACTCATGGCGAGTATGCGTGAGAGCCGGTATTCCATTTGGTTTTATTTCTTGACAATGGAACAAATTAATTTTATTGGTAGTTAAACAAATTGTGAACTAGCAATAAATAAACATCGTTTATGACATCAATTTCATGTCAAACATTTTCAAATTTCTCACCATTCGGAACCATTCTTTTCGTAAATTAATATAAATTGAGATCTTGCACGTCTTTCATAATTTTCTCCAATTACATCTTCAAGTTGTACAGGCATATATCTAAGCTGTAATGGTATTATATACATTTTTATTCATTTCATTAGTATACGTAATAATTATNCAGTTATATTTTTTCGGCGTCCCCGGTAATCAACATCGTGGCTCCTGGACCGGAAGTACGCTAGAATAGGGGAGATCGGGGTAATTTATCCCGCGGGGTAAATTTACCAATGTTTAATAATTTTTCTATTTTTTATTTTAAATCATTCTCGATTTTATCATACATTTCTAATCGTATCTCACACTTTCGTTGGTACTCGATATCATTTTCTGCGACGTTGTTTATTTGTTAAACAATAAAACGGAAACCAACGATAGGTAAATTTATTTAATCCCTTTTTTCTTATTTTTTAGTGAACTGAAGTGTACTTTTTGTGATTCTGAAAATATGACATACGGAAATAACATCCATGAGCTTTGTGTTACCGTGTATATTTTCTTTAATAAAATAGTTCACCGCTTGACAGTCGATCGATATAGTGACGACCGGAGAGAATTGAATTACGATAAATGGAGCGAGTTGAGTGGCGCTCAGAATTATACTGTAACATTTCTTTCATTGACTGATCCACGCGTTGTTCGTTTCATTTTCAAGTAAATGTAACTTAATCTCTCGTTCGTGACAAACTTCATTGAATCTTAGTTTTTTCATGATTGCCTACCAACTACAACGCAAGACACATGTTTAAACAATTTCTCAGAAGGCATTTTTATTTCTTCGTCGCGACCTCTGTTCGATGCTACGAATTCTGTCCGGGCCGGCCGGCCGGGCCGTGTTAGGTCGGGGATCGTTTACTCGGGAGCGGTGATAGCGATTACCCGAGGATGTCGATCGGACCGGGCCTCGTGGGTTTGTTCTTGAGGACTCATTTCCAGATGGTTGAAACCAGCCAAAGACCTCGTCGAGCAAAGTAACGAAGATACTTTATTTTCGATGCCTCTCGGTTTTACAGGAACGACTCGTAGACTCGGTCAACTCAAGGGGACTAACGTTCGCCGAGAGTTACAGGTGCCTCGCACGCAGGTTACAGAATGGAGACAGTTCAAACTTCGATACATCAGAGAGCGAGCCCTTCGGAGCGGGCCTTTTTATACTGACCTAGGATGTTCCTAGGCGCGGAGGAGGATGCTTATTGGTGGGTTTTTAAGATTGAGGAGGGAAATGTCTCATGTGATTGGCTTGGGGACATAGGTGGAAAGTGTCTTTTTCCAGAGACCCTGAATGTTTGACGTTTCCCAGGGCTGTCATCTAGTTTGGGGTGCGGAAGTACTCGGATAAACAAAGGGGAGATAAGAACGAGGGAGAGCATGTCTCCAGGAGCGCTTTGGAGCGCGAGACGCGTTGCTTAGTCTCGTTCTTAATATTACTTAAAATAAAACGTTAGGTAGGGACCTAACACCCGACCGACCCCCGTGCCCTCCGCAAATAGCGATTACCGAGCATTGCAGCGCTCGGACCCGAAGTGCGATAAAATACAAAGAAAATAATAGCCTTTTCACGCATTTTTATTTTGCTTTAGCAAATAATGAAAAAATCTAAAAAGGTTAATTGTTACGCATTTATACATGCAGATTTTGTTACTACTAGTAATAAATACAATATTTTTTAATCAGTGCAATTTATTATTTTAAATTGTGCGCGAACTTCGTGATCTTGAAAAAACTAAGATTCAATGAAGTTTGTCACGAACGAGAGGTTAAATTACGATTACTTGTAAATGAAACGAACGACGCGTGGATCAGTCAATGAAAGAAATGTCACAGTATAATTCTGATATAATCTAATAAATCTAATAAATCTTCGAATTCAACATTTAAATGCCGAGGAATATTCAAACCTCGTCCCACTCTTACATTAGTAGAGTTTAATGATATCTTCTATCTACCAGGCGACGTGTTGACTTACACCAACGCCATGACACATTCAATTCCTACCACGGATAAGCTCTCTTCCTCTAAGGGGGGAGGGATGTTAGGTCCCTACCTAACGTTTTATTTTAAGTAATATTAAGAAAGAGACTAAGCAACGTGTCTCGCGCTCCAAAGCGCTCCTGGAGACATGCTCTCCCTCGTTCTTACCTCCCCTTTGTTTATCCGAGTACTTCCGCACCCCAAACTAGATGACAACCCTGGGAAACGTCAAACATTCAGATTCTCTGGAAAAAGACACTTTCCACCTATGTCCCCAAGCCAATCACATGAGACATTTCCCTCCTCAATCTTAAAAACCCACCAATAAGCATCCTCCTCCGCGCCTAGGAACATCCTAGGTCAGTATAAAAAGGCCCGCTCCGAAGGGCTCGCTCTCTGATCCACCAAAATCTGAACTGTCTCCATTCCGTAACCTGCGTGCGAGGCACCTGTAACTCTCGGCGAACGTTAGTCCCCTTGAGTTGACCGAGTCTACGAGTCATTCCTGTAAAA